CTTATTTTGAAAAGTTAAAACATATAGCTTAACTTGAAGTACATGAGATCGTTTTATATTATTATGTAAAAGGTTTTGGAAAATGTAGGTATTCTGAAGCTGAAAATGGTTTTAACATGTAAGTTTGTATGGTTATGGGAAGCTAAAACCTTAGAATTCATAGAAAATCTCAGTCATTAAAAGATGACCCTAAGAGATTATCGTTTATCAAGAAGTTGGTCATGGGTACTGGCGGGTTTCAAGAAAGAAAGAAGTCAAAGTCCTGTTAAGCCGAAAGATATGGTATTGAGATTGTTAACTGGGGTAAACAGGTCAAATGTTATGTGCCCAAGACGAAATCGAGTTCCATCAAGATCAAAAGGAAATGGAGTTCCTTCGAAGAAGAAAACGCATTAAATTGCATATATTTTAGGCATGAATAGGATCATGTCATTCATAATTGCATGATGACTTAAATATCTACAGGTTTCCCAAGGATAGTTGAAGATTGAATATATGGAAAAATCAAGATGAGGATAACTAGTTTTGAAATCTTGAAAAGAATGATGTTTGGACGACAACTGACCCAAAGTTTGACCTTCGAAACAAATCAATCTTAAGCCTTCACGAAAGAGCAGTGAAACAATTCAATCTTAAGCCTTCACAGAAGAGTAGTAAAGCAAATCATCTATAAGTCTTTGTGGAAGAGTAGTGAAGCAGACTCATTTTATGAAGATCGAGTCATATACTCTCTGAAGGAATATGGAGCAGACACATTTGTTGAAGATTTCTCGAGTCCTATACTCTCTGAAGGAATAGGGAGCAGACACGTTTTTTGAAGATTGTTTGAGTCCTATACTCTTTGAAGGAATGGGGAACATATACGTTTGTTGAAGATTGTTCGATTCCTATACTCTCTGAAGGAATAGGGAGTGGACACGTTTGTTGAAGAATGTTCAAGTCCTATGCTCTCTGATGGAATAAGGAGCGGACACGTTTGTTGAATATTGTTCGAGTTTTATACTCCCTGAATGAATAAGGAGTAGACACGTTTGCTGAAGATTGTTCGAGTTTTATACTCCCTAAACGAATAGGGAGTAGACATGTTTATTCAAGATTGTTTGAGTCTTATACTCCCTGAATGAATCGGGAGCGGACATGTTTGTTGAAGATTGTTCGAGTCCTATGATTTCTGAAGGAATAAGGAGTGGACACGTTTGCTGAAGATTGTTCGAGTCTTATACTCCCTGAACGAATAGGGAGCATACATGTTTGTTCAAGATTGTTCGAGTCTTATACTCCATGAAAGAATAGGGAGCAGACACATTTGCTGAAGATTGTTCGAGTCTTATACTCCCTTAAGGAATAGGGAGCGGACCCGTCATTCAAAGATTTTTCAAGTCTCGTTTATCCTGAAGTAACAGAGAAGCGGATTAATCTTTTGAAGTTCTCATGACCAGCCAAACTAGATCATCTTTTGATCTTTGCTCTATTCTCGTTACACGACAATGAGCAAAGAAGGACAGTTGTAGATACTAGATTTGTCTGGGGCTAAGTCAAAGCAAACCCGAAGCAATGGAAGGCCTAAAGAATAACCCAACTAGTTGAAGGCCCAATTCAAGCCAATGGCCCAGCTGAGCAGCCTCCAGCCCACATGACTATTCTCTGGAAAACAAGGACAGTTATGGGGGGTTAACAAATGTTATTGGGAGTTAACCAAGAGAATCGGGGTCCATGATTTTCAGCATAGAGAAAGAAACTATAAATGGGGTGAGGGTTGGTTTTTATTAGAATTAACCACTATCAATGGGGAGATTAGATTACACAGAGAAAAAAGGGAGGAATCATCCGAGATAGATATCAACCATCACGAGAGGAGAACGAGAGGAACCAGATACGAATTTTTTTGAAAGGCAATTAAATGAGTGAACAAAAAAAATGACCCCACTGATTCTTTGTTTTTACAGAGAAAAACAACAAACAAAAAAACATTGTAAAAAAGAGGTATTTTCCTCATGTTCGAAGATCAAAGGAAATAACCCCATTCTTCATCGAACCAAAGCAATACACGAAATCAAAAAGGGTATTTAAGTTTTTTAGTTTCCATTCTCAATTGCTTTTATAATTTTCTTGTGTTCATGTGTTTTGAACCGAAACCAAGTAAAAATCATAAAGGAGATAGTTTAAACATTTACCTTAGTCGTCTTGTTTTGTCTCCTAGTCGTTCGAGTCTACACTGTAAAAATAAAGGGATTATGTTAGTTGTAAATAGGTTCATTACAAAATAGAAAGAATATGGTCTTTATAGTTTACCTTACAATACGTGGGGGCTTGGAGTCGAACTTGTAGGCTTTAGAAGTTAGGGGTCGATTGTGGTGTTGTCAAGCGTTCGTGACTCTCAATCGAAGGGCATAGAGACATATTTTTGTTCTTTAGATCATTGGGTTGTATTCACTACTCGTTTTAGTACCGGACGAGTGGTTAAGCGTCACCATAGGAGCGGTGGTCGTCGGTATTTAGTTGTGGGTTGGCGAGAACGGTGTTGTGAGAGAGGGGAGAGGGAAATGTGATGTGGTCTTTGATCATGCGTGAGAGGTATGAGAGAGAGAGTGAGTGATAATAGGCTTTGATCGGAAGAGGCCACCAAGTTACGGTGGCTGAACGGTGATGAAGGGTAGCTTGGGCGAGGCTTTAACCGAGCGTGGAAGAAGAGGGGAAGAAGGAGGAGAGAACGGTTTAGTTGTTTAGTTTTGGGTAAATCCTTTTAGGTTTGTTTTTAATTAGTTATATATTAGAGTTTTTGGTTAAATTAGTATTTAGTCACTGAAACTTTCAGGTAAAATTATATTTTGATTCCCATAAGTTTAGCGCTTATTTTCACTTTAGTCACTAATCAATACTACTTTTGAATTTAGCCATTTGTATTTGTCCTGATTTTGTTATTTTTCAAATTTAGGTTTCATTTATAATTTTTGGGTTATTTAGCTAAGGGTCATCTCATTTTATTTTTTAACTCATTTTGGTCCCTGAGTCAAAACATATGTATTTATTGTTTAGCCTTCGTATTTCACGAATGTTTTATTTTGACCCCCTATTTTAGTCAAAATAAATTTCTGTCTAGTTTTACATTTGGTCTGTAATTTTGTTGTTGTTTTTTAATTTAGTCCATAGATTTAGATTTTAGATATTTTAGTCATAATTTAGGTTATTTTATTTTTTAGATTAATTCCTTAAATCACATGGCGTCATTTTTTGTATGAAATGTATGATACCCTCACGTGCATAACTCGACCCCTAATTACATAATTGGATTAAGAGTAATACCATTTTAATTTAAAATTGTCTTGAGTGGCTTGTCTTAACTCATTAGAGAGTCATTTTGACGATTTTAAATTAAAAGTGTATCCCGAAAGTGAAATCTAAAAATCAATTCGTCACTTAAAATTAGGGAACGAAAGAAAATGAAATGTTCAGTTTTTTAAATTTTTTGAGAAAAGATTGTTACAACTCATCTAAGATCTGATCTCGATATTTTTAAATAATGGAACATTCTTTATCTTTCTAAAACGACTCGGTAATTTTAATTTAATTTATTTGGGTGCTTTTGAATATTATTAAATTCACATCTTTGTTTTATGGGATCAAAAATCAAATTAAGTTCGAACTTGTAAAGTTTATTGTAAAGACATTAATTAATCAACTAGGTACTGATTTAGAGCGATGTGGGGGTGCTAATCATTCCCCACGCGTAACCGACTCTCGAGCTCGAATTTTGGTAACCTAAACCCCAATTTGTTATTTTAATTAAAATCAATTTTTATTTAAAATGACAAAACGGTTTCGGGTGACCCAATCACACTCTAATCAAATATTGGTGGCGACTCCTCGAACTGTATGTATCGTAAAGGGAATCCCAAATTTTTCGAAACGAGAGATTTTCTAAGTTGCATTGCTTTTTAATTAAAAGCTAATCTAGAAAGAGATAATTAAAATGATGTTGGTTTTCAAAATCTTGCTTTTAAGGTAAAAAGTTGTTTCGACATGATGACACATCAAAATAACCATTAATTTTCTAATTGCAGGTATGCAAAATGAAATCAAAATTAAACGTTAGATATTATTTTAGAAAAATAGTTGAATAACCAAAACATAACAAAAATGAAAATTTAGCTACCAAATGTGTAGTTTAACCCAAAAAATGAAATGCGAAGAATTAAGAGATGCTTGGCGAAAGGTTCCCATAAAAATATTAGAGACAACAAAATAAATATTTTTTTTAAATAGTTTATAATGAGATTAGAAGATAGAATCTGTCTAGAATATTTTTTTAACAATTAATAATATGTATATACTTGTAAATATAAATTTTTAAACCTAAAATCTCTAAGAAAAATTATGGTACCATTTGGTGATTCACATGTTAAATAATTTTTTCTCACATTAATGATAAGTCTAATGTGAATCAAAATATTTGTTACCCTCCTCTCTCAAATTATGAGATTAGATACGATAAAAACTAGAGATGAAATTATGTCTCGTTTCGAGTTTACTGTTATTATCATTTTCTATTATTTAAAAATATATAAATAAACATTAAATTAAACTTTTTATTTTTAAATTTTATAGATTCTTTAAATATAAAATAATATTTATTCAAAAAATTATTATTTAATAGTGAACCCTCTATCCTTCACATAATCAAAACTAATTATAATTGAATATATTTTATTTTTTTATCATTAATTATATTTTGATTTAGAATTTTGACTCCTATTTAATAATAGATAGATGAATTTTTTGATTAAAAATGGAAAATAAAAATGAAAGAGGTACAGAGAAGTGTTCCAGGTATGTGGTGACGTGTGTCAAGCAAGACCCGCACCTAAGCAAAGAGAGCTATATATATATATATATATATATATATATATAACTCCTTCCCTTTCCCTCCCTATATGCACACTCTTCCCATCATCTTTTTTTAATTCCATTCCATTTTACACATCCGCTGTTAAGAACTTAAGATGCTACTCCTTCTCTTCCCATTTCCCATTATTACCAAAATTCTATTCTCCTCTTTCTTCTTCTTCTTCTTCTTCTTGTCGTTGGTGCTGCTGGTATTGTTCTCCAATCATCAATGGCGCCACCACCACCTCAAGAGTAAACTCCTTCCTCCTGGTTCAATGGGTTGGCCTTATATTGGTGAGACTCTCAAGCTTTATACCCAGAATCCAAATTCCTTCTTTGCCAACCGCCAAAAAAGGTATACATAAAGACAAATATCACCTTCTTTGTAAACAAAGAAACAAGTTCAAATATTTTCCTTTGATTTGTTTTATAGGTACGGAGATATATTCAAAACTCACATATTGGGGTGTCCCTGTGTCATGATTTCAAGCCCCGAGGCGGCGAGGATAGTTCTTGTGACGCAGGCTCATCTTTTCAAGCCCACGTATCCACCCAGCAAAGAGAAAATGATAGGCCCTGAGGCTTTGTTCTTTCACCAAGGTGCCTATCATTCGAGGTTGAAGAAGCTGGTCCAGGCTTCTCTTTTGCCCTCTGCGATTAGAGGCTCGGTTTCTGAGATTGAACAGATTGTTTTGAGATTTCTACCCACTTGGGAGAATACCACCATTAACACCTTGCAAGAAATGAAGAGAGTATGTCGGTTTCTTCAACTATTTTTGTCTTTTAATCACGGAATGGAGGAGCATCATTAGTTTTTGTTTTGTTTTTCTTTTGGCATGTTTAGTACGCTTTTGATGTGGCAATGATTTCGGCCTTTGGACATAAACGAGATGATGAAATGAATGGGATCAAGCAGCTGTATCAATGCCTGGAGAACGGTTATAATTCCATGCCTATAGATATTCCAGGAACTCCTTTCCACAAAGCAATGAAGGTATTCTTGTTTTTCTTCTTTTTCATTCAGATTCTTTCAAGATGAACTTGTTCAATGAATCTTTTGAAAGAAAAAAAAGGCTAGGAAGCAGCTGAATGAGACCCTGAGAAGATTGATACAAGAAAGAAGAGAAAATGATGAAGCGGGAGGAGGGTTGCTGGGAAATCTGTTGAGGGCCAAAATCCACAAGGTTGATCAACTCAGTGATTCCCAGATTGCTGATAATGTTATTGGAGTTATCTTTGCTATTCATGACTGTTAAAAATTCAATATTAGCCTAAATAAGTTCACACTTTAATTAATTTAATGTCATTGCTTACATCAATTTAGTTTTGATGTCATTGCTTACATCAATTTAGTTAGGTGAAAATTAAGTATTTTTCTCATGTTTTAATTTCAATAGTTTAGATTATTTAGTGCTTATTTTAATGAGTGGTTTAGATTGTTTCTTGTAACCTATAAATACCCTACATGTATTTGAGTTTTATCATCCAACAATCAAAGCTTAACTATAAGCATTTGAAAGCTTTCTTAAGAGTTCTTCCCTTTTGCAATTTTGTGAGATTATTCTAAAGAGTTTTTTCTTCTTCTCGATCAATTAGAGTTTTTACTCTATTTTGATTCAACAATTGGTATCCGAGCCACGTTTTTAAGGTCTCTTGAAATTCTGAGTATGCTCTGTGGCTGCAGTTTTTAACTAATCTTCCACATCTGAAAATATTTCTTGAGTTATTGTCGGGGTTATTACAAACCTTGTGGAGTTTCTTTGTGTTTAGAGTAATTTAGTACTCTGCACGTTTGTTACTCAAGCTTGTTCGGTGTAATCAAAGCCTTGCCGTTAAGATGGGTGATCTTCAAGTAGTTGGAGGGATCAAGAAGCTCAACAACAAAAACTACAACACGTGGGCAACATGTATGGAGTCATACTTACAAGGTCAAGACCTTTGGGAGGTTGTCGGTGGTGGTGAAGTTACACAACCGGTGACAGAAGATGCCAATGGAATATTGCGAAAGTGGAAAATTAAAGCAGGCAAAGCAATGTTTGCTTTAAAGACCACAATTGAAGAAGAAATATTGGAGCACATTCGGGATGCTAAAACACCAAAGGAAGCATGAGACACTTTTGTTACACTCTTTTCGAAGAGGAACGATACAAAATTGCAACTTCTCGAGAATGAACTTCTATCAATGGCGCAACGCGACATGGCGATTGCCCAATACTTTCACAAGGTGAAGTCGATATGTCGCGAAATTTCAAAATTAGATCCGACAGCTGCTATTGGGGAAGCCAGGATAAAAAGAATAATTGTCCATGGTTTGAGACCCGAATATCGAGGGTTTGTTGCCGCTGTACAGGGATGGCCGACACAGCCATTGCTTGTTGAGTTCGAAAATTTACTTGCATGTCAAGAAGCCATGGCCAAGCAAATGGGAGGAGTCTCGCTGAAGGGTGAAGAGGAAGCGCTCTACACCAGCAAAAACAGAGGCACTTTTCAGCGGTATACTGGCAGTGGATCTAAAAAGGATGGTGACAAGGTGAAAAATTACCAAGGAAAGGGAGGCCCTCATTCAGGGGGAGCATCCAAGAATCGCGGTAATAGTAGAAAGTTCGATGGCAAGTG